CCTCCCCGCCGCTCGCCGCTGCCGGGCTCCCATCCGCTTGTTTGCTCATGCTCGCTCTTTCAGCGGGCGATACATCAGCTTCTGCTGGAACTAATCGCAGCTTTTGTCACAAATTTTCTGGGTCTTGAGCTCAAAGGCACAGCGTGCAGGGGAGTTTCTGGTCTCGACTCAGCCAGCCAAGCGGGTGAGAATTCGGGATGTATTGTGTCAACGGCCTTGACAAGACCTAAGCATGAGTTTTGTGCCAAAAGCTGGGTATGCCCCCTTGACACTATCCCAAATCTTTGAAAAAACAAATTTTTTAAAGGGTTTTATCCTTTAGGTGCAAAAAGCACATATGTATTTTTTTTTTAACCAGAAACACTATTAACTGCTGACAACTTGAAGTAGTGAAATACACTGTGCTGAAATATACTGCAATAATATTGTATAAATATTATTGAAATAATTATTTTATTTCAGAAATATACTGAAATAAACCTTCACTGGTTTAACTCTTAAGTGGCTGTAAAGGCTTGTTAGAGTCTTGATAAAAAGCCTGAAGTGCTCCTGCTAGTATATAGATAAGGAAGGATTTTTTTTGTACCTCTCAGAGACTGTTTTCAGATTAGTTTTGCTTCCAATCTACCCACTCAGAAAATGTCCCAAAACGTGGCCATTTTATCCTAGCACAAAGTCCTTCTGGGCTTTCCTTTTCTGTAACTTGAGCATCAGTTGAGCTGCAGGAGGGAGATGCACTGGACCCCAGTCAAGGCATAGCTGGTTTAATGGGACATCTACAGCAGGTTTTGTGTGTGTACTTCCATGCCAATGAAAGACCTTAGTGTAGAGCAATTGTGTTGACATGAAGGTAGAGTATCTTTCCTAGTTAACAGCAAGCCCTATGAAATGTAAAAAAGGTGTAAGGTAAGCACTTTGCTTTCTGTCCAAAGCTGCTTTTTTGCATCCATTAATCAGTTTCTGTTTACTTTTCTTTTTTCATAGGAGACTGCTCTCCTACACCCTCTGTATCCAACTAAACTGATCCCTCCAACTAAGTCCCCTTTGCGTCCTCCATCCGTCTCCCTCGCTGACTGTCTAAACCCTGGACCTTTCAGCCACTTGTCTTCCATCATGTGTGATGTTCACGAGAATCCTTATAGCCCTTACAGTCACAACTCTTTGTACAATAAGGTGAGCGTCG